TTACTTGTAATTAATGATACCAAAGGATGCCACAGGTGGATGACATGAGGGTATTTGAGGTTTTGTGGGCAGACTGGGAAATGGGATAGAGAAGGGAAATAGTCATAGTGAAAAAATAACTTGTTTGCTTAGGTGTTGCATTTAGTGGTTGGAGAACTGCCTTATGAAGAAACAGATTTAAAAGAAACTTAGGAAGGTATAGGGAATCCTGGCCTATAGAAGTTGCTTTGAAATGTGCTTTGTAAGAAAATAACATTTTCCAGCTCTTGAAACATTGTAATAAATACTGAGGTGTGTGTTCTCAGGTCTGAACTTGATCCTGAGAATGCAAACACGGTTCATCATCACTTCCTCAGTGAGCCTGTTTGTGTACTTGCCTGTGTACAGCCTTTGACTTCACGTGTGCTGTGCTCAAATTTAGGCTTTAGTGAAGAACTTGCTTAGGAAATGGCATCTTCAGAGGTCCTGAGGAATCTGCTTCAGTAGCTGCTAATTAAATATCTACCTCAGCCAGGGCTTTGAATCGTATGATATCATATGCTTTGAAAAAGCAGGTAAATAACATAGATGTATTTAATCCTATGACACTCTGGAAGAATACCTGATTTTCTGTGTTGATAATTTAGGACCATCTAGATGGCATTTTGAGATGGAGCATGTCCTAGCACAGAGCTTTGCCCAGCATTACATTGTGTTAACCTTGCAGTAACACATAGAGTGACACAGCTGCACTTCATCTCCTGCTTATTTTAATACAGGACTGATATAATCCAGGCCTCTTCCTCTGGTTTAAGTAGTTTGGATATACCAAAGCAAAGTAGCCTAGACTGTTTGTATTAGCTGACAGGAAGCCTTTCACTGTTGGCATCTTAGAGAGAGTATTTTTTAATCTGTTTGGTGTTTCCTTTCCTACAAAACAGATTCTGACGTCTGGGTGCATATTAAGATGCCTTAAGTTGTTACTGCATAGGGTTACAGTAAATATGGCAGGGTTTTAAGCTGATATGATGAATAAATCTATTAACTTCTCCAGAATGTATGATATTAACAATCTTAACTTCTGCAATAATTGTGAAATTCTGTTTATTGGTTTTTATCCAGATTTATATTAAAATTATTTCAATTTGCAATGTTTTTTAACAGGCTTTTTAATTTAGGAAAATTCTTGTGTGATGACTTTATAAAATGGTCCACTGCATTAATTAGAATGGATTTCTTGCTGGTTGCTTTTTTGTCCGGACCATTAAATAAATGCCATTCCTTCATACTTTTACAATTTACAAACAAAAGGGTGTCTTAAACATCTTCTAGTTCCAAGCCTTTTTTCTAAGCTCCAGTGAATTAATCATTGGATGGAAATAGTTGAAAAATGCACACATGGTTATATTGCAGCAGATTTTCAGCACTTTGTCACAAAGACCAGTTCCAATATTTAATCAGTAACTTCTGTCACTGAATATATATTCATCCAACCTATTAAAATATCTTCACTTAAAATAAATTTTAACCTAATTACAGGTTGCCACGATTTAATACTTTATTTTGCATTCTTTTTTTTTTTTTTTAAACCCTGCAAATTAAAAATATTACTTATTAATTACTATGTAAGAAACTTCAAAGTTTATCCAAACAGAGATGGATTCTGTAATTCTTAGTAAGTGGCTCTTACTTGTTTGAGTCATCTGGAATGCTGTTCTGTAACTATTGCAGAAACTTGCCCAGGATAATTGGCACTTTTCTTGTATTAAAGCTTTTGTTCATCATTTTCTATGTGAAAATTGCTTTGTGCTTTTGGAAGTGTGGATGACTTCTATCTTAATAGACCATTAATGATTAGCTGCCTTTTCAAAGGTGATCTAAGCTTTGAAAAAAATAAATCATTACCTTCTCCAATTAATTGCTGCTCGTTCACATAGTTTCATTTCTAGGGAATTATAAACGGTTTTAAAGGTTAGGAAGTAACATAATGAACAGCAGCAATATTTATTTTTTCTTTATTCTTTCCAGGGCACTTGACAGAGATGGTTACCTTATGGAGAGCAGTGTAACTTGCATACAAGGCTTAGACTTTAGGCTTGATAAATGTGTAGCTTCCTTCACAGAAGGAATTCCAGCAAAAATGTTATCTTTTTCATATGAAGTGTCTGAATACATATGCAGTGTATCTAACATGTACAATAAATGCAGTTTATGATTGATAGTGCTCATTATGTCTTGCTTTGAGCTAAACAAACCACTTTGAATAAATAAATGTCTCACTTTGTGTTAATAAATTGTGTATAAGATCATAAGGAGCTTGAATCCTCCTAGATGGATTTGCTATGATAATTTGTAACTACTGGGAATCAAAAGTGGGGATCCTGAGTTGGAGTGAGCATGGTAATGTTTGTGTAAATCCAAGCTGTGCTGCTGTGCTGGGACAGTGCAGGGCTGAGTTTGGAGGCAGAGGTACCATCATGACCAGCTCATGTACTGGCAGTAGATGCAATTCTGGGGGCACAAACCCCTGGCCAGGTCTTGAAAAGAAGCAGTTGGATTGAAGGAAATAAATCTGAAAAATCTCTGAAGAGCTGCTTCAGGTTTTGGTAGAGGCTGCTCAGAAAGGCCACGTGAAGGTGATGTGGTATTTGGAGTAGAAGGTTCTGGTGAGGAGGGAAAATTCTCAGTTTTTGTGGGGAACAGGAAGTCACTGCAAAATTTATGTCAGCCAAAAGAGACCTTAGAGTGTACCAGAAACCCAAAATAAAGTTAGATAGCATTTTTTAGTGTTTTATACACCTGGCAGTTGAGGTGCTTTACGTGCTGGTCTGAAGTGAAGTCCTCAAAGAGCAGCAATGCTTTTTGTGAGTAATCACAGTGCTCTTGGTGCCCGAGGTTGGTGTGCAGGGCTTTGCTTGGCCAACTTTCCCAAATGCAGGAAGCATTTGAGGGGGTTCAGGAGTCTTGATCTTCTACTGGGAGGAGTATATTGGGATTGTGGTGATGTGTTCCTGGCTATTAGTGGAAATCTGCATCTGTTCAATAGATAGCCTGAGGTGAGTTGACTTCTTGTTTCAGTGAAGTTTTTGGTGAAGGTGAGGAAGTTGTTTGGAAATCAAGTGTGATGGGTTTGGAAAAATGTCTGAAATAATAATTTAAATTTGTAATAGCTGGTAACTTTTTTTTTAGTAAAGCTACCTTTTGTTATTTGGTTTCAGTTAGTTCAAAGGAATTTTATATATTTTATCTACAACTGTATTACCTGTGTATGTTTGTTACAGTAATTTAGCTAATTAATGACTTCACAGAATGTTTATATTTGAAGTTCAGGTAGTTTTCAGTCTCCTAAGTAAGGCTACTGAACATCTGGAGGAAGTAAACACAAGTCATCTGTTATCTTCCCCTTTTCTCTTGTTGATGCTTAGAAATGGAAAAATATTCTTTGTGTAATGTAGAAGACTTGATTTAAATGAATATAAATTGTTCTATTGAGAGCCCTCTTCAGAGCTACTTTGTTCTTTACAGAATTATGGCCAAAAGCTGGTGAGTGGCCTCAATTGTTGTTGATCTGTGTTAGAACAATACTCAGTATCTGCAGTGAAGTATTCCCAGTCCTTAATGAGGTTAGAATGCCAAAGCTGGTTGTGGAAACTAGAAACAGAATCACTTGTTTGAAAACCTTCAGTTTTTGCTAACTTTTATTTGTTGTATTGATAATATTCCTAATTGTGCAGAAAATGTGACCCTCTGGAAGTGTGCTGACACACTTCAAAGCAGGATTTTCATTATGTCAGTTTAGTCTTTACATGTAATTAAAATAAGTAAATACTCTGTAAGTGTTCAGTGGAACATGATGAAAAACTTTTTCTGCAAATCTCTGGTTTTGCAGTTTTTTGATGGTTTAAAAGATAGGTGGACAAGGTTGTCCCTTAACCAGTGATGAACTTCTGCTTTTCTTATTTTTGAGGCTTCATTTACACTGTGTCCTGTTGCCAGACGTTCCCATTGATAATTCAAATGCTCTTGTAAAATCCAGTCAGTCCAGGTCACCTGACATTGTTAAACTCGGACAGTGATGTAATAGCTAAATATATTTTAATCAGATGTGGTCCAACTACTCCTCTGATCCCTGTGGCAGCACCTGTTTGAAAAGAAACAGCAACAACAAAAACAACTCCTCGAGATGTGTGCTCTGGTCTCCTAGGGAACCTCATGTCTTTGTTCTCTACTGAAGGTGAAAACAGGAATGAATATATGTTTAATACCCCTGGCAATAACTTAAGATTTTTCTAAAATACCATTTGAGGCTTTTGATCATGTGAGTAATAACCTGACTTAATCTCAGGAAATGTGCTGTGGGATGTTTATATATAAAATTTTGGGAAATTGTATGGAAGTGTTTGTTAAACAGCTAGAAATCTAAAGTTCTTGAAATGAAGACAAATCACCTAGTGAATCACAAGTGTGGAGCTGATTGACATCCATTGCACTTGTGATAACAACTTGTGTGTATGGCAGACTGTCATAAATGTACTTTTTGAAAGAGGGAGTACTGTCCTGTAGTGATATTTTACATTTGGGTGCAGTTTAGGTGAGGATTCCTTCTAGCTGCCTGTTCTTGTAGGTCAATTGTTTTAGATCATGAGAGATGTCTTCCAAAAGAGCAGATTTCTACTCTCTGTGTTTGGATATTTGTATAAATTTATTGACTTATTGACTGGGAACAGAATCCCAAGGCTTGGCATTATCACTGTTCATCATAAACTTCAGTAAATCACATTGACTGAGGCCTTTTAGCTGGAGCCAAGTAAGTCCAGAACGGTGCAGGCAGGTGGTGAAGCATAGATTTATTTTACCAGTTTGTCCTCTCTGTTCAATTTCTTCTTAGGTTTGATCACATCCATGGGATTAATTGTTCAGACTGCCATTTTAAAAGAAATGCAGGTGGTTAATATATTTTGAATGAACTTCTCAAGGTGCTAAGTGTATTTATATAATACTACATCCATGTTTATTTCTAGGAGAAGGAGCTACAGCTGAAGTTCCCTCCTCTTTTGTGGTTCTGTCTCTGTGCACTCTGGTAGTCCTGGTCATTCTGCTGGCAAACTGTGTCTCCTGCTGTAAAGACCCCGAGATAGATTTCAAGGTAAGACCTGAAGTTATCAATGTGTGTACAAGTGATATTCTCAGCTGCATCCTGATATCCAGAGCACTTGATTAGTTGTGCTAATACTCTGCAGTGTCACTGGGCATCCTCTCTTCTGAAACAGCCAGTGTCTGTATTCCTACAGGCTCTGGAGTCCTGATGCAGCTGTTTATTTTAACTAATTGCTCTCTGCTGCACTAAGGATCCTTTAATGCCTTTTCAAAATAATAACTAGCTATCAGGACCAGTAGTAAAAGTTAACACCTTTGAGACAATTCTGCTGCAAAGCACCTTTTTGTTGTTTTTCTGTGTTTTCTTTTGTTTTTTCTTAGTCTGCAGGTGGGGTTTAGGACACTTCTGTTGAATAAGAATACTGATGATGTAAATCCACTGTAACAAAACACTTGAGAAATTATTCTATAATGATAAAATTATTACTTTTGGAATATCTGTAATCAGTGTTCCTAAAATTGTCCATATTGTCCATTTCTAAATGGACAATATTTGGCCTCAGCAGTTCATGGTAATTCATTCAAAGCCAGGGCTAGCATTTAAAGTAAAAAACATAAAGCAAGAAAACCAACAACACCAACAAAACCCAAATCACCAAACCCACAAAAACCCAACTAAACAAAAACCCCTTGATTATTAAAAGCAGTGCTTTAATCTCTTTAAGGCAGCAATTAATGGAAAATAAGGAATAGAACACTAAATATCTGTCACTGTTCTTGGAAAAAACCTGACCTTCCTTAGCAGTGCTCATTCAAGCTGAAAGAAATGTATTGGTGCTTATTTAAAGGCAAAGATCATCTTGTTTACTAAGACTTCTTTTGTTTAGGAATTTGAAGATAACTTTGATGATGAAATAGATTTTACACCTCCAGCAGAAGATACTCCATCTGTTCAGTCTCCAGCAGAAGTGTTTACTCTTTCAGTTCCCAATATTGTTTTACCAACTCCCTCCCAGTTTCCATCTCGTACAGGTAAAATAGTGGTTTTCAATGCTAAAACAAAAGTAGGCATTTTCAGTGTCTAAAATGGAGTGTGGTTGACTATGTTTGACTTTACTATAATAAATAACTTTTTACAAATTTCCATAAAATGAGCCAATATACTTTGTAGTGTAAAGGATAAAAGGGGAAATATTACTTCTAATATGTTAACCTGTGTCAGGGTAAGAGCTTAAGAGGACAAAACCGCCTTAAAACCCCCTCTCTAGATTGCTGTCATTGTATCTGTATACATCTAAAGGGTTTGAAGTACCCTGGCACATTTGTGACTTCTGCTCTTTAGTGGTTTTCTTCATGGCTAAGTTGTCATTGGATTTTAACCACCGCCCTTAAATAGAAATAAGAGTGAATCCTGTACTTGACAGCAGTGCTACTGCTCAGCTGCATCACTTTCTTGATGTCACTATAGACTATTTGTGCAGTAAAAGTGATCTTTTGTAAGACAGAGCATTAGGTTTCATCTCCCTGTGTAGAAGGGGTTGTGGAATGTATTCTTTAAAATACAATTTTTGTAAAAGGAAATTTAATGTCTTACCATATTATAAGCAGAGTTTAGCCTAAAGTAATTACTCTCATACTTCACATAATTTTACATAATACTTGTGTTGCTCGATCATTAGATGTTCAGGGAAGCTTCTAGTAAAACTCCAGTACGAATTTCAAGTAACTGTCAGTGTGCCTTTAATACAAATGACACAGTTGTACAAATGACTCAGTATTTTAAAGAGCTGAGAAAAATTATGAGTGAAAAATTTTATGTCAGTTCCTCTGTGTAGCCATAATTGTTAAAATGAAGCTGTCACAAGAAGTATTTTACCATAAGTAAGGCAATGTGCCTGAGTACTTGAATAAAATGTGGTAGCACTGCTGTGGCCCTCACCATGCTTAGGAGAACATTGACAGTGAATTATACAGCTCTGGCTCTTCCAGTACAATAATACTGCTCTAAATGTAGTTTATGGAAATAAATTGTGGGCTAGAATTCTCAGACAAGAAAAGGCTTTGTTTATATCAATTAGTGTTCCTAACCAATTGGGCAGCAGAGGGATCAACACTGCTGAATCTCTTCTGGTGAATGAGGTCTGCTGTTGTTACTGCCCATCCTCTGCCAAGATCTGGGTTTTCTTTTCTGTCCACCTCTTTGGGCTCTTCTGTGAAGTATTTTTAGTTGAAAAATGTCCTCCTTCCACATGGTAGCTACAAGTAGGGCAATTGGGCTGAAGAATAAAGCAGTCAAAACCTTTTCTCTTAAAATGGTAACTCTATGTACCCGTAAATGTTAAGATGTACAAACAATGAGTTTTGTCTTAGGTTTTCTATTTTATTTACATAGGAGACTTTTGTAAGTAGGTTGTTTTTTCTACTCAGCTACAGGCTGTAATACACTTTCATATTGGAAGCAGAACTTAGCCTTTTTGCTTTCTTGCTGAGTGTATTAAAAACCTGTAAGTTCACATTTCATCAGGGCAGTTGCTGTGGTTTTGTTGGGGATGTGCTCTAGTGTAGTTTAGAAAAGTTTCACTTGAGTGCTGTTGTCACAACATTACCTTCCTACTTTATGTACATCTAACTAGCTTTTGGTGCTTGGGCTGAATGTGTGCACCCAATTGGGAATAAATCTTGTAGGAGCTTGCATTACTTCCTCAGCAGTTGCTAACTTTGCCCATCTGAGTGGTTTGATACGTGTTACGTTTGTTTCGTTGTGTGACAGATGGATCAAAGTCTCAAGTTGCACGTCAGAGTCTAAACTACATCCAGGAAATTGGAAACGGCTGGTTTGGAAAGGTGAGGAGTTATCTCTTCATATTGCACAGATTGAGGCTTATTCCCAGCTGACTCCTCTGCATTTACTTTAAAATGATACTTAAAACCACCCCAAAAAACAAAACAAATAAACCCCCCAAAACAAAAAAACCCAAATCCCACACATAGAAACATATAAGTTGAAATTAGATATTTCCTTGCATGCATTTTTTAGCTGTAACCACAGCACTAATCTGTGCTTTCAAAATTTACCTGTAGATTCTTTCTACAGACTAGTTAGACATTTCACTTCCATGGATTTGATTTAATACACTCTTGTTTTTACCAGTTCCTTTTAGAAAAAAAATTAAGTAAATAAGTGGTCAAATAAGTGGTCTTCATAGAAAACATGTTTTCTGAAAGCTGACGTGTAGATCAGTGTAAGATTTAAGTATGTGTGTTTAATTATCAAAGCTCTGTTTGTGTTTGTAAAAAAGCCAGAAAATCTTTCCTGCAGCATGTTTTTAGCTCTTGTTTTTCTTTGCAGGAAGACTACAAATGTTTTTTCCCCCTCTGATTAAAGACACAATCTCTCTTTCAGGTTCTCCTTGGAGAGATCTACGCAGGTTCTAGTGTAGCAAGGGTAATAGTGAAGGAGTTAAAGGCAAGTGCAGGTGCCAAGGAGCAAGAACAATTCTTAAGAAATGGAGAACCATATTAGTAAGTAATGTTTCACAGCTGCAGATAAATTATGACTATTGCTTTTGTTCAGTGTTATTGTCTACTTGCCATCCCATATAACTGTAATGTTTGTCTTTAAAATGTGAAATGCACTCAACCCAAAGTGAGCAAAACTCGTGTTCACATAACTTAGTTTGCTTTACCTTGCATGGATGTGCTGTAAAAGATTGGTCAGTGAAGAGCTTTCTCTTCTTGATACTTTTTAATGTGCTGGCTATATTTGCATTTAGTCTTATGTTGTTGGCAGTTGTCAGAAGAATTTTCATGCCTTCTGCTGCATTGGCACAAGAGATTTTGGAGCAATTTAGGGAAAGTAACTGATCTGGCTGGGAACTAACCTGGCTAAAAAAAATTTTTCTTTTAGCCAGCTCTGTACCTTGATGTAGTTCATGAGTTGCATGCTTTTATTTTTGGTATGAGGGGTGGTGGGAGGATGGGTGTGACTCTCATGTGGCAATCCTGGCTTTTGTGGGTTTGAGATCCTCTGAGTTTTGGCTGCTGTCAGTGATACACTTCAGCAACACAAAGTAGTTATAAAGGTACAAATGGAACCTGTGGCTTTGGTACTTGCACCTTCTGTTCCTGCCACCCCCTCCAATGTTATGTGTTGAATCTTCTGGTAGGGATTTCAGTGTGTTGCATTCTGCTGTGATCTTCCTGGCTTTAACTGTATTTTTTCACTCCAGCATTCTTCAGCATCCAAATGTTCTCCAGTGTATTGGGCAATGTGTGGAAGCCATTCCTTATCTCCTAGTTTTTGAGTTCTGTGACTTGGTAAGTGCACTTACACAAGATGCTACAGTTGTTTTTCCACTGGTGTAAACTGTATGTAGTATATTTACTGTCCTTTGCTCATGAAATGATTCTTTTGCTTTCTCAGAAGTTTTTTGATTAACCAGAATTTTAAAAGGCTTTTTTTTTGTTTATTTTTAGAGGAACCACAATTACAGTTTTTTGTTTGTAGTCTTTTCAGTTCATCATGTATGTTTTAAGTGCTTGTGGAGTGTTCTGAAGAGGCAAATACCTGTTCCTTGATAATAGAATTACCAGTTTCTTTCAGTCTGCCTTCAGCAGGGAGCTTGGAGGGCAGAGGGTGTCTTGGCAGGGAGCTTTTTATCATAGTCTAGTATCACATGCACACACCAACACTACATCCAAAATATTTGCTGTCTGCAGTCTTAATGTGCTTTTATTATCATTTATATGAAAATGTTAATTGATGAAAATGGAAGAATTTCTTCCCTTCTGCCTTCTCCCCCACCTCCAGAGTGCCCAAATTTTACCCATGCTGTGCTGCTTTGTGATAGAATGCAATGGTGGACTCACTTCTGGTATCAGTCATGCCTATTCTAATAGCTAGAATTTTCACTTTGTCTTCATTCTCTTCCCGATCCATTCTCTTATGGTACTCTTCTCTACATTCTTATCCTTTTATTTCCTTTCTTATGCCCTTTCTACCCACCTCCCTCCAAGCAACTGCCTTGTGCTTCCTGGGCACCCAAAGAAAAGCTAGGAATACACTGAAGGGTGTTCCCTCTGCTTTCAGTGCCACATGGTCCCTGGAATGGGAGGAACAGCACAAAGCCTTGCTCAGCCACTGCATTCCTTGGAATGTTTGTGAATGTTGTGAGGAAGGGGGGGCATGTACAGAGCCTTTTGGACTCTGCCCACTGTGCAGAGCCATGAGAGACAAAAATTTGGATCCATGGTCTGGAAAGACTTGAATTGTTTTATTGTAGCATAACACATTCCTAAAACCAAACAATCTCCAATGCCCAAGTGGCTGTCTAAACATTGGTTCAGTAGCTGCTTTTAAAGTTTGTTATGTAGATGTCACCCAAAGCAGAGTTTCTCGAGAGGTGTCAAGACAGAAATGAAGGCAGAAGTGCACAGGTGTTACTAAGGAATAAGTCTTTCAGAAATAAGAGAGTTTGCATTTATGATTTTCAGCAAGATCTTTTTTACCAGTTTCAGTACTGCAGAATTTTCCTTTAAACTCGGGTGCAAAAATCTGCTTTTAGTTGCTTCAGACAATTTAAATTAGTTAGCATGAACTTGAGTTTTTGGAGAAATATCAATTAATCCATGACCTTAAGTAACTATATTTTTCCATGCTGCTCTTTTGCTCAATTGTATTAGCTGTGGTAAATTAATGAGGCAGAAGTGCTGATAAAATCCTTCGTTCCCAAATGGAAGAAATGCCTGAACTTTTTAAGTGACTGATCAAAGTGAAATGTTCTGGATTTGCTAACAATTAAAAACTCTGTGCCTCAGGTTAACAGATAAGGTTTTTCATAGCTTTTCAGTGTAGAAATAGAATACTACTTGGTGGTTTTAAAAACCTGCTATTCAAATTGGAGTTTCTTTAAGTGGCTTCTGGAAAGAGAGTTGCATTTTATAGAGTCTATCAGATATACATCCAAATCAGATTTAATTGTTGCCGTGTTTTCAAATAGTTATGTGATTTAATCCAACTTTAAATTTGAAGATGGAGTAGCTTTTAAAGATTGCCCTATTTTAGGTATACAGGAAAAAATAATATCCTTGTTTGACGCCTGATTATTTATGCCAGAAGTTGTCATGATCCTGCAGAGTAATCTGGAAAGGATTTTACTTAAGGGGATAGAATAGATTTTCACTTTAACTGGGGGCAGTAAGCTTGATGATTAAAGTGATAGTTTTACAAATTTGAGTGTAGTTAGGTAATTTCTTTGGAATGGAAAAGAAATGTCTGTGCTCATTATTCTACTCCAAGTGAACTAAAGCTTGGTTTTAGAAAATTATATATTACAGTCAGTTCAACATAACTTTCATATTAAAGTCTGGCTCACTTAAAGAGTTCTTACTTGGTAGAGCTGAGTATCTCCTGGACATGATGGTATTTTTTTCTTTGTGCACCCAAATACTCAGGAGCTGGACAGACAGTATAATGTTCCTTTTGCAGTTTGATGCAGAGACTGGGCCAAGTGAGCAGCACAGTATCCCTGTACATCACTAATTTTTGTTGTGGTCCAGGGCCTGGATTAGGAGGTGGCAGTGTTGGGGTAAATGCAGAGAAGAGACAGGAAGGAAGCAGCATGGAATAGAAGATGTGGCTAAATAGGTATTTTTAATAGGAAGGTTTTTAAGGGAGTGTCAGGAAGCTTTTTATCACTGCAGTTGGAATGGCAGTTATTTGGATTTTTTAGACTTCTAGTAATCAATATGAAAACTCCTTTTGTACCTTTTTCCCCTGAAATTGGATGAATTGGGGTGCACGGAGGTGCTTCCAAAACACATGGGAGTGATTCTTCGGCACAAAGAGCATAAGGGCAGGTGGAACTTAAGTGGTTGACTACAGGTTCCAATGTCTATGGTGATTGTTTGTTCAAATGGGAAGGATGAGAAACATGGTCCTGTTCAGCTGCCAGTGGCTTAGTGGTGTGAGCTAAAACTCTTTCCTTTGTTAGGGTGGTGTCTATGTATGTCCAGCAAAGTAAACTTGCTTTAATCCCTTGTACTTGTGTGTTTAAGAATTCAATAGTTCTGAAAAAAACATGGCAAGAAGATGAGCTGTGTTGGATAGGAAGTTTTAATATCTCCAGGTGACAAGTTCTTTTGAGGCTCGTGTGGCAGTGCTGACCTTGTTTAGCAAATTTGGCATACTAAGTAACAAAAAAATGTGGCTGTTCTGCTGACCAACGCAGTCTGGAGGGTACAGAGGTTGTTTTATTCACACTCCTTCAAACACATAGCCTATCACAGTGTGTCCTCCTTTTGTTATTTCTCTTGCTTGGATTTGTAGCCTTTTTAGGGCCAGCTGACCTTGTCTTGGCTGCTCAGGCAGCCCTGTTGGATTATCAGTTCCCAGGCTCCTTGGCATTGAAAGGTCTTGATCAGAGGCACTGGAAACTAGTGCAGAGAAACCAGAGCTGTCAGGGTGGCAGTGCTGAATGTCAGGCAGGCTGGCTTACGTGGTTTTTTGGCCACAGAAACTCCTGATACATTTCTGTTACACAAGATTGCTGGTTGCATGTGCAAGAACTGTTTTGGCTAACATTTAGTCTATTTTATAATGTGATCCAAGTTGCTTTGCATCCCTTACTTTGAAGAGCTGGCAAAGAAGTTGTCAGTTGGCCATAAGTGATTTAAGGTGTTAAATTCTATGCTTTGCTTGTGTTAAAATTATTTAGAAAATAGTAAATATAATAAGAAATGCTCAAAAAGCCCCTTTCCCTCTATTATTTGCATTGTATGTTGGTGCAGTCTGCTATGAATAGTTAAATGTTCACTGTTAAACATTGCAGAATGATGCCAGGTTAAAAATAGTGGTAGCTGTCTTATTAACTTTAATATATTACTCAGCCCTGTGCATGGCCAGCATTTTGTCAGCACAGCAAATCCTCTAATGGATTGACATAATTTATGAGTAAAACGAAAGTTATTCAAATGTGGAAATTGCATGTATATTGTGAGGCTGATTTGCCTATCAAATTCTTCCAGAAATTCTTCAAGTCTTGCAATTCCCTGGGCAGATGAGATCAGCAGGATGCAGTATTTGCCTGGAGTGCTCTGTAGCTTACTTTAGGGATGCTGCTGTTAGGGGAAGGTGTCTGCTTGCAGTGATTGGTTCTTTTTTTAAATTACTGCCACTTGAAAGCATGTTCTCATAAAAAAAAAATCTTTGCAATGAAAACTTCATAATCGAAGAGTTCAGTGAATCTATTTAATGATCATGGTCAATGTGGATATGAGCCAAAGAGCAGATTTATCAATGATATGTGGTTTAACAATAAAGGGGGGATTTGTCAGTTTATGACAACTTGGTAGAATGTGTTCAGTTGATGTAATTCAGTAACTGCTTCACATTTTTAAAGCCACCATCAGTTTTAAAACCATCAGTGCCTTCTGTTTAGAAAGTCATGTCAGCCATTTGGGTGTTCAGATGAACCCAATATGGAATTTGCACAAACAAAAGGCTGCCAAAGAGAACTGACTGTAAGTATGCCCCCAGCTTCTGGCTGTTACAGAGAAAAGTATATTAAAACTTAAAAAAAATGGCTGAAGTGAGAAGGATGGGAAGAAAGGCAGAATTTAATTCTTCATGAAATCCCAGGAGAGGAGGGAAAAGGCAGAGTGGCAGAGGAGGTTGGAGAGAAAGTAGAGCCTTCCTCAAGCATGATTGAGCCTTTTATATTTAGATATCTCTGCAGTGAATTTTGCAGAACTGCATTTATTCAGATATATATAACCTTTGATATTTACTGTGTTAAAAAGTCTGTCAATAAAGGGCCATTTTGTAGCTCTCAAAATAGTGCAGGGATAATGTTGCTGTGTTGCTACTGTCTGCTTTTAGGCAGGGAAGCATCATAGGATAATTCAGGCTAGCAAGGAGCTCAGGAGGTCTCCAGCCTCCTCCTCAAAGCTGTATCATCCTGAGGTCACACTGGATTTCTCAGGACTTTGGCCAGCTGAAAGCATCCAGGGATGGAAACTGCATGTTCTTTCTGGGCAGCCTGTGCTTCTGTTCAAGTCCTTATGTGAAAAACTGTTTTCCTTCCCCTGTCTGAATTTTCCATGTGTCAGCTCACGCCTGTTCTCTCTCATCCTCCATCCATGCTCCACAGGGAGGAGCCTGGCTTAGTCTTTATGCTCAAGTCTTCTTTTCTCCAGGCTGCATGAGCCCAGTTCCCTCAGCCTCTCATGGTGAAATGCTCCGACCCCTGACTGTTGTGGTGGCTCTTTCCTGAGCCTGCCCCAGTTTGTCTTGTTCTGGGGCAGTCAGTTCTGAGCGCAGGGTCAGTGTGGTCTGACAAGTGCTGAGATGATGTTGAGACCTCCCCTGGGCTTGGCCGTGTTTGTGCAGCCCAGGAGCTGCTCCCTGCTGCCAGGGCATAGAGGGCTCATGTGGAGCCCACCAGGATCCCCAGGTCCCTTCCTGCTGCCCAGCTGGCCACTTGTGCTGTTGCAAGGGAGTTTTCCTCCCCAGCTGTGAGAGTTTGCATTTGTCTTTCTGGTGTTTCATAAGATCACTGTTGAAATATTCTTCAGCTTGTCCAGGGTCTTCTGAAGGGCAGTTCAGTACCTGAGTGTGACCATTGGTTCACCCCAGTTTGGTACAAGCAATGTCCTTTTAAAGCAATACAAAAAATACCTATTTTATATTTTTAACCTTGATTGTAGCCTTAATTAGACCAGAATGGGAACATAGAACCAGTATGTTTCAAGGTGCTGGATTTAATAAAGCTGATTTTCCTACAAAAATATGTGCCTACATGAGTAATTCATGAAATAAGGGATGTCACACAGCACTGCTGTTACTAATGCATTTAAAAATTATAAAGTAATCCCTGTGTGCATTTCAGGCATCCTAGGAACTTAATCCACCTGAGACAAGCCCTAAGCAAGCAGTTGCTGTTTGAATGAATGACAGTTTTAGAGTTTGACTTCGTTCAGGCTCTTGCTGCCACCTACAGTCAGCTCAGCTGGGTGTTCAGCCATTTGAAACCTGCATGTGTTACAAACGCTGTTCCTTTCCTAATTGTTTGAAACTCTGCTCTGGCAAGAGCTTCCTGGCCCAGGATTTGGGAAGACAATGGACATAGACAGAGCCTAAGATGTTATACTGGTGAAACAAGTTGTGATATATGCTGTGCATCTCAATACAGAAATGTCTTTAAGATAATTTGCTAATCTTTCAGAAAGTCTGTATTTTAAATAACAAAAATACAGGACTGCTAGGTTAAAAATCAAATTGTCAGAAAATGAACAACAATGGCATGAGAAACTTGTTCTTTTCCCTTGCTTGGATTCTCTTACTACATAAGTCTTCCTTTTCCTGAATGTTTGGACAGTATCCAATTATTTTCCTCTATTCCAAAGCTGTTCTTTTTTTAGTAATTTATGGAGTGCTTCTGTGGGCTCATTAATGATGTGTCTATTGCTCAGCATTGCCTGGGTTCAGTAAAACTGCTGCCATCATCAGAATTCTCTGACTGGAATGGGCTGTATTACCATACTTTTTATATAGAAAGCTCTGATGAACTGGCAATGTCTGAAACTCTCTTCTCTAGTCTCTCCCTTCCAGCCCCTTACAAATTCCAGACAGAGAGCTTTGCTGATTTGGAGCTCTTGAAAACTCATCTCATTTGAATGCAGAGGATTATCAAACTGGTTTTTTTAATGGAAATTGCTAATGCATGACAGGTTATATGTGGCAATCTGATCTAGGATGTTAATTACTAAATTATTAGATTAAAAACCCTTAAGAACAACACTATATGCCTTAGATGACTTTTTAAAGATCATTTATGGAGACTGGAAACTTGAGGAGATTTATTTTATTGAGCATAGATGTGGTGAATAAGTGTTGTGGTCAGTTGGATCTTTATTAAAAATAATTTTTTTTGATTCAACCAACACATAAGGCTGATAAATATCTTCAACTTCTTTTACAGGGTGACCTGAAAACTTATATCTGCAATGAGCAGGAGCACATTAAAGGAGAGTCTCAGATAATGCTGCTCCAGAGGATGGCGTGTGAGATTGCTGCTGGCCTCGCTGTGATGCACAAACACAACTTTGTGCACAGGTGGGCTCCAGAGAAATGGCACTCAGTCAAGATGCACTCCCAAATTCATCTGGGTGTATTCATTAAAATCCAGGGGTACTGAAGACTCCACATGTGAAATAGCCTGAGGCATGAAGGTGTGATGCTAATGAAGCTGCTAATTGAGCTGCAGTGGTGTGGTATTCCAGCTCCACCTGCCTGAAAACTGATCACCTGCTCTTTGGGTTTGCAGCCCATAGAACACAGCCTGCTGCCAAGCCAGTCCACATGTAGTTGTTTGATTAATTCATGGCCAAGTTAAATGAATTTTGTTTATTGTGGAGGGAGGGATGTTAAAATTCAGTTAGAATGAATCTTACCTGCTGTGAATTTTTATTAGATTGTAGAAATTTAGAACTTCTCTTTGGTAATGTTACCTGTGCTACTAAAAACGGAAAAAAACCCTCCTTTTTAATGCAGTAAGGAGGAAGCTGAGTTTAGAGGGAAAATCTGACTGAAAGGGATATTCTCTCAATGAATTGTTGTTCATGTAACCTTTAAATCTTCACTGAAAGGAGGTAGTTAGATTTCACAGTAATCATGCTAGGAAAAGAATCTTGTTCCCATTGGGGGAAATGCTAGGTTTCTTTTTAAGAAATAAAATTATTTTAAATTAAAATTAATGTAGCCAATACAGAAAGAATGGCAGTAGTTGCAAAAGGCAGGGAAAATTTATTCATGAAACAAGTTGCCTAGAAAAAGACAATTTTTTTTTTTTTGCTGTAAATGTAAAGGTGCTAAGGATCTGGAAGTAATTAACCTCTAAAATGAATAAAATATTAAAGAGTACTTGTTCTCCAAATGTGGATTACCTGGTGAAACCTTGGGTACCACAAGACAGTTGCTTAGTCTGTTCTCTGCTGTAGAACCAGCACTTCATCACACTTTCAGCAAGTCAGGAGCTTGTGTTGGAGCTTATCAATGCACATCTTGCTGCTTAGGGAAGCCAGAGACCTTGTGTTCAAGGAGAAATAAACTCTCAAACCTAAGTCTTAAAAGGTGCAGGGTTTAAAACAGCAGCAAAACCCTGAAAAACCCCAAAGCCTGGACTCAGCTGATGGCTGATGGACAGAGCTCTTCTTTTAAGCCATGTAACAATTTCAAATGACTTGAACCAGTTGTACCTGTCTAATGGAGGGATCAGTTTCTTGTCTTGCAGCAGCATGGCTTTGTAGATATTAAATTTAACAGTACATTTTCAGTGAAATACAGATAAACTTGGTAAATAATTAATCTGTGGATCTGCAAGATTCTCATTGTAATGTTTACTTCTAGCAACACTATCCTGATGCTGTCAGAGTAAGTGGTAAAGCTCCAGCATCAGTGATTTTGTTGTTAGTGGTAAATTCAAGCAGCCAACAATTTTTCTCTTCCAGGATATTTATTTAAATAGTATAAAACAATCTGGGACATACTTGAAGGTTATAGATGTGTTTCTGACCTGTGTAGTTCAATGGCTCTGGAAAGGAAAACATCATCTTTCTTTGTAGCAGACAAGCTGTGGCTTTCAGACCATTTGTACTTCAGAGACTTTTTTTAAGCTAACAGAAGCAAAGGTAGAGTTCTTCCAGGGCACTTAATTTCCTGGTTCCCTCTGTGAAACTGTGAAATATTTGAGCAATTAGTCTGCTGAGCTCTTTGCTGTCGCAGCCACAGTTCCAGGTTCATTAAACTTGCATAAATTTCTGAGTTTGCATGATGAGTTTCCTAAAACTGCTTCTTTGTGTTATTACAGCAGCACTGCTGTTTCATGAGTGTATGTGGTCTGGTTTATGGTAGAAACTAGAAGCAAATTATGTGTCTTTTAAAGAGCTTTGTGATTTGTTTATTGGAGGACTTCTATAAAATACATTACTTTTTGAGTTGGTCTTTTTCAAAGACTGTAGTTCTGGTTCATGTGTAATGTATGTGTTTGTTACTTAAGGAACTAAATAGTAGATGCAAGATATTACTGGTTGCTCAGTATCATATTATAAATTATTATTTAAACCGAATCTGAATTGCTGATAGATTTTGCTTATGAGAATTAAAATGCAAGCCATGCAGTGATAGGTGTGAAGAGGAGTGACATCACTGTAGCATGTGAACAGCCCACGTAATCTCCATGAGAGGATTGTGAGCAGAATGAAATAATTGCATGTAAATGCAGTGTGTAGTTTGAATGCTTAAGAGTCTACACCACTGCTTCTAGAGAAGTGACTGCAGCTTGAACTTTTTTATACAGGGCAGCATAATAGCCTAGGGTTTTTGTATGAAATCTTTAAATGTGATTGCCTTGTCACTGTGTTTAGTTTTCTTTGGATTCCAGATTGCAGAGTCTGCTTAGCTCTGGCTCTAAACTGATTCTCCTTTGAAGCAGTGGGAGTGCCCAAGGGAAATCACAACCTTTTGGCCACAAAAGAAATCTTGTCCAATAAGTCCTCTCTAAGGAGAAACCCTTCCAGTGTTTGTTTTTTCTGGAAGCGATGAGTGTTTGTATAGAGCTGTAGTGGCAGCAGTATTTCAGTGAGATATGGAATCAATTGCTGGCGTGTGCAGGTTCTAAAACTTAATAAAAATGTAAACAACAAGAAAGCTATCTTATTGTTTGGTTTAGATCACAACTGCACTTCAGAAATTACTCTCCCTGTGCCTGGGTTTGCACTACATATGAGTTGGTCTTTTGGAGTGCATGGGCTGGTTTAATTCCTCAGAAGAGGATCAGGAAGGGAGCTGCAGGAGCTCCAGGAGCACACCTTCCTTGCACTCAGCCTTCAGCAGGATTGAGGTCTATGGGATCAGCCTGCAGCTCATGCACAGAGGATTGCTGAAGTGTATCTAGAGTGGATGCTGAATCTTTAGCACTGTTTTTATGTTGCTGGTCTGCTCCCGTTACTTGCAACTGTAACCTGTAACTCTGCATAAATCCTTGATTTTTAGATTCTAAATTTTTTAAAATAGTTTTCTTTGAGCTATGACCTGACTGTTGTAAGAATTGTCACTTCTGTTAACCCATTTGTCTGAATTTGCATTGAAGACCTGGTTTGTCTCACTGTTTATTTGTTTGCATTTGCAGTGACTTGGCCTTACGGAATTGCTTCCTGACATCGGATTTAAATGTCAAAGTAGGAGATTACGGTATAGGATTCAGTAGGTATAAGGTGAGTTCATCTTGTCATGGACCACTTTTTTAATTCAGGGGCCAAGTTACAGCAAGCAGGCTTGAAAGTTGTAAACTGATACTAGATTGTCCTTTATTTGATTAGTGAAAACTTTCAAAGTATTACTGGCAAATAACTGTAGCAAGGTCATGTACCAGTATAGGTACCTTTATAGAGATGAGTAGAGTTTATGTTCTGGGAATCTTCTGCTAAATCTACTCTTTTTTGGCCCTATTTACAGTAGTCCTACAATATGAACAAACTAATTTTAATGTGTTTTAGGGGCACATTTGAAAGAATATTCAAAATATTAAAGTATATCAAGAAAGTGAAAAGTTAAGGATATTAATTAAAACATTTTATAAGTACCAGACCTTAAACAAGAAATTGGCATTTAAGTTTCTGCTATGCAGTGACTTTCCTCCATAGTATTATTCTCTGCTACTTGGGGAAAATGGGTTTATTTTATTTTAATTCTAATTTTTTATATAGGCATCACACAAAAACATTGAGGAAGGGACTGTCACTGTCTGGAAGTTGATCCAATGTATATTCAGCCTTGTTGTTTTATTCTTTTCTTCATTTTGATCAATAATTTAGGAAGATTATATTGAGACAGATGAGAAGAAACTTGTTCCTCTACGATGGACTGCACCTGAGTTAGTAACAAGTTTTCAAGACAGACTGTTATCAGCAGAGCAAAATAAATACAGTAACATATGGTATGTAGAAGACTTAAAAAATTTCAATAAGAGATTTGTGAACATATTTTGGAATGTTACATGAAAGAGTAAATTATATTTAAATTAGCCTGATGCATCAGATGTACAGTGGGTTAATCTCTGTAAACCTGAAACTATATCCTGCTTTGGAAAGATGCATAGAAATCTGAGAGAAAGTTGGAGCAAACAAAAATGCTTAGCAGAATAATAGATGTTTATATTAATAAAAATACCTTCAGATGTTTACAAAGGAATGAAATGGTAAATGAATTTTCCAAGAATAAGTAGCTGTGAGTGACATAAAAAGTTGATCCCACTAGAGCCTGATGAAGTTCAATTGGTAGAACAATGGCATTTTAATTAAAATGCTGTGTTCTTGCTGCAGCATTTGAGAGCAGCAATTAACTGATGGTTTCTGCTGCCAAAGAGCTGGTAGACAATGGCTGGTAAACTCTTGAAGATGAACCTTTTTGAAATTGCCAAGTTCCACTTCAGTTCTCAAGCCCCAGGAAATTTGGATAATGGAAACTGGATTAGGCTAACGTTTCTGAAAATATTGTAGTTAATTCCTGCTTTATATTTGAAGGATATAAAATAATAAACTAGACTTTGTTTGGTGTTTTAAAAGTAAGGTTGCAGAAAGCAAGTGGGGTATGTAGAAATATTAAATTTCTATAAAATTTGAATATAAAATGTAAAAACTAATTTGCTTCCACCCTCCAAGGAGGCTTCCTCAGCTCATACTGTTCATCTGGACTACAAGCAGCCAGGGTCTTAAGGTTTCCAACTTGTATTTCAGTGCCTCTTATCAAGAGCTGCTTTGAACAGGTTTGGACTAGATGATTCCAGACACCCCTTCCAATCTAAATTATTCTACATGCAGAGTCAGTTACTTGGCATTTTGAGCACAGAAGGATTCCCTGAAGATTAGCACTGACTGTAATCAGTGAAAATGTGATTAGTGTTGGATATAGTACAGATGCAGCACTGAGCAGAGGCAGCTTTTGACCACTGCAGCTTGACATTAAGGAATTCTGTGAACTCTGGAGCAAGGATGACTTTTCTAGCAGTTTGACCTATAAATGCAATTTCTCATGAAAGCTTTTTCTCTTCTGTTGCACTAACTGAAAGGTTTTTTAATCTCATTTCTATACACCATATTAAAAAAATCCCTGTATTTTTTATTTTTAAATTGTTGAAAATATTATATTTTATTATATGTGGGGGTTTTCCCCATGATCAAATAATTTGAGACCTTCTATATTTTGTTGCCTTCATTGTTATTGCCTTCAAGCACTTTATTCTTCAGGCTTTTAGCATTCTGAATGAATTAACATGTTCTGAAGTTATTCTAGAGACAATGGAGAGTAGTATTTATTTCTTCTTGCCAGTTATGCTTTGCTTATCCTTTCTTAGAAAAGCCACTCTGAAATAGATCTGTGAATGCCCTGACATTTCCTGCTCTTCTGCAGGTCCCTGGGTGTGACACTGTGGGAGCTGTTTGAGAATGGTGCTCGGCCTTACTCAGACTTCTCTGACAGGGAAGTCCTAACCCATGTCATCAAGGAGAAGCAGGTTAAGCCCTTCAAGCCACGTCTGGAGCAGCCATACTCTGACAGATGGTAAACCTTGAATGTTTCTATTTATTCTTAAAGCTGCTGAAGAAGTTTCTCAAATGACTCAGTTCTCTTAAATTCATTGAAATTGCTACATGGCAACTCAGCAAAGGGAGTAAAAGGACTTGCTAGAGATGGAAGTTCCTGACAGTGATACTGGTACTCTGAGGCTTGTTAGGTATCTGAATTCTTTAAATTCCTTTTCACTGTGAAACCTATTGAAGCATGTTTTTATTTGTATAGGTATGAAGTTCTGCAGTTCTGTTGGCTGCCTCCAGAAAAGAGACCGACAGCAGAAGAAGTGCACAGACTTTTAACTTACCTCCGCATGCAAAGCCAAAGGGACTCAGAGATTGATTTTGAGCAGCAGTGGAATGCTCTGAAACCAAACACCTCAAATAGAGAAGCAAGTAATTCTGCATTCCCAATCTTGGATCACTTCACAGGAGATAGACTTGGCCATGAGCTGGAGGAAGTTCTGACTGTAACTGAAACAAGCCATGGTTTGAGCTTTGAATACATCTGGGAGGCAGCTAAACATGATCACTTTGATGAATGTGGACATGTGAATCCTGATGAAGCCATGACCTACACAAGTATTTTCTATCCAGTGGAGGTTTTTGAGAGGTCACTTTCAGAGCAAGGACCAGGAGCACAGGATGGAAGTGGTCAAGAGGCATCACTTGCTGTCCCTGGGGTGTTACCTGTGTTTGATGCACACAAACTTTCTGTTGGAAATGACTACTATATCCAGTTGGAGGAAAAAGGAAGTGGATGCAACATGAATTTTGATAACCAATCAGTTGTATTAACAACAGAAGTTGATCATCAAGAAGCTGTACAAGAAAAAAGTTCTCATTTCACGGTTCTCAGGGATCTTGATGTTGAAGAGTCTAGTACCGATGGGGACTTCTTCCACTATAATACAGATCCTAAAGAGGAATTTTTGCCTGCTACTGGTAGTCCAGAAAGTCCTTTCCAGAGTATATTTAATGACATTGAGAGATCAGAAGAACTGACAAAAAGAAAAATGCTTGGGTTTGCTGATGATTCTCCTAAAGACGTTAAACCAGCTGTTTTGAACTCAAACACAGATGCTAGAAAGGCAGTAGGCTGTTCTGAGAAGGAGTATTCTAGGCATGCTTCTGAAAATGAAACGGTTTCCTTATGTGAAAATATCTCTAACCAGTCAGACCTGGTAACTTTGGAAGAACTTTCTGATAACTTCTTATTTCTTCAAGAGAAAAACTTATTAACAGGGTTATTGCCTAACAAAACCAGCAGTGATTTTGGGCAAAACTCAGATGATGTTCTAAAAAGTATATTAGAAACCTCAAAAAGAAACTCTGTAGAGCCTGAGCCTGTGCTGGCTGAAAATGCACAGGTCTTTTCTTTAATACATGAGAGTCTTAGAACAGTGAAAGATGAAAATTTTAACCCAGTGACAATGAATAAAGATCCCAGTTCCCAGTCTCAGACTCCTGTAGAGATGCAGGCATCCTCTAGTCCTCCCACAGCATATAATTCATGTGATAACTGTGCAAATCTTCCTATTTTGAGGGATGAGGGGAAATTTCTAAATGTAGAAGTGAATGAAGTCATGTCCTGTAACACTGATGTTCTCTGTCAAGAAGAGCTATCTTATCATGCCAAAAATAATAATGTTGGAAACAGTCCATCTTACAGTGTTGCTGTTGAAACAAATGAGTGTGATGCACAGATGAAACAGGAAATGCTTTTCAAGTCTGATGAAATAACTTTTAAAAGAGAAAAATGTAGTGATCAGGAAGATAGGAAAAGAAACTTGCAAGATAGTTCTCCCATACTAAAAAAAAAAGAATGTTTATTGGAGGAAATACAAGAAACAGCAAATCATTTTGAGAACTGTAAGAATGTTCCAGAAGAAGTGACCTCAATCTCTGTTGCTGCTTCAGATTGTACAAGTCAGGATAGTCTTTTGGAAGATAGCCCATCTCCTATACAGACTGTAGAACAAGCATTAGAGACACCTGATTCTTTGGATTCTTTAGATGTAAATGAAGTTTTAGAATCTTTACAGGCTCAAAGTCCTCAGAAACTTTTACCACCAGATAAACCTGCTGACAGTGGCTATGAAACAGAAAACCTGGAATCTCCAGAATGGACTTCCCATGTCCCTGTTGAGGATGCTTCCAGTGTGGATACTGCTCTGTGTGTCGTGAGTGAGAACAGTGTCAGTGCTTTGCCTTCTAATCCAGTCATCATTGTGTCAGAAGCAGCAGCTTGTCTGGATGCAGTGAACAGCAATTTTGAAATAACCCCAGTGGTTTTTCTGAGTGGAAATCAAAACTCTTACAGAGACTCAGCCTATTTTTCTGATAATGATTCTGAGCCAGATAAAAAAACAGAAGAGTCTGTAAATCTGTCCAGAGAGGCTGTGTGTGTTTCCTCCAACAGAGGAGAGAATCACACTGAAGAGGTTTGTGGTTTTGAAGAGAGACAGCAAACGTGTGATGTGAGGAATTACCAGGGTGATGATAATCAAAACTCGAAACTGGAACTAAACCACAATTTAGAGATCCAAGAGATGGATGAAAGGATGCAGGGCTGTCCTGATGAGTGGGCTGAGGCAACTCTGACTTCTCTGGAAATAGTGATGGAAGGTAACCTGAGGGATGAAATACAACTATCTGAGACTTCCCATAAAAGTGTCTCTTGTGTTGGCACTAACACTTCAGAACTCCTTTCACACAGAGACTTAAAGCCTGTGCACAACATGGCTTTAGATCTGAGTAACAGTGAGAAGTCCTTCTATCACATGGAAGGACAAAAACTGAAAGAACCAGATATTGAAGGAAAATACCTCGGCAAACTCAGCGTGTCTGGAATGCTTGATTTAGAAGATGGTGATGATGCAGATGAGGAAGATGAAAACAGTGATTCTGAGGATGACATGAGGACTTTTCATATGCATAGTCTGAGTTCTGACAGTGAAGATGAAACTGTTCATCAAGTACCTGAGATAGTTACTGACAAAGATGATGGAAGACACTTGAGAAGCTTGTTGAAACTTCCAAAACCTCTTAACGAAAGGCCTGAACTTTGGAAAGATGAGAAAAAGGCTGTAACGTTCTTTGATGATGTGACAGTCTATTTGTTTGATCAGGTACTCTTCTTTTTAATTACTAAGTAAAGGTTTTGTTGGCTTGCCTTTTTTTTTCTTTGAACAAGGAGTAATTGAATAAATTGCTTAATGTTTGGGAAAACCCTGTTGCAAAAGTCCCTTTCTTGTTTTGGCAGGGTTACAGCTCGTTCATGATGTGGGTTATTTTTTCTTCATATATTAAGGCTATATAAGAATATATATATATATATGTAAAAGAATAATATTTATATATAAAGAAAAAAGAACTTTGTGACTTGGGTAGATGCAGTTTTGTGCTGCTGGTAGAATAGCAGTGCTCATCTCTGAAGGAGGGTTTTGCTTTGGTTGCCAAATCCTGAATCTCCATTGCTGTTGGACCCTTGACTGTATGTAAGCCAATAATTAAACAAAAAACCCCCCAAAACTCAAACTGAAACTGAACTCTCAATCTTATGTTAGTTAGCACTAAGGTAAATTTATCTAAGATCATAATCAAAGGTGAGAGCAGTATTTAGATGGTAATGCTAATTTTTATTAATCCTGTGGGATTCGTGTTCAGTGACACAGTGATCTGCTTATAAAATTCAAGGTTACTTTTGTTTCCCTATCAGCTTTATCAATTTTTAACTTCTGTAACTGGATACAGAGGGGATTGTATTTTAGCATTATGGCAACTAAACTAGTCCAGTGAGTTTAAAAGAACAGTAACATTGTCAAGCTTGGGAAGTGTTGCTTATGATGACGCACATAAATATTAGAGTTAACTGTGTTTTGGAATAGAAAAAAATAGGTGATTTATTTGTGTTTAGCCAGCCTGTAGAATAGTAATCCTTTTGTCAGAGGGGAAGTAAAAAATCAGCTGTGTTTAAACTGCTCTTACTTGTTGAACTCTTTATTACAATAACTGATAAAATGTTAGTTGATTCCAATACCGGCTGTACAAAGTCTGTCTTTTTATCCTGAACATGATTAGGGGATTTAAAAAAAAATAAATGTTGGGATAAGGCTTTATTAAAGAGGGAAAAAAAACCCTACCCATGTTAAGCTGATATGGGAACTGTTTTTAATTGGAAGGTATTTTAGCTTTGTTCCTAGAAATATGAAACCATTTTATATAGTAAATAATATTTAAATAGTCATTTCCTGCATGCATTTTAGCATAGATTTGATGCAGCTTTCTTTAGAAGTATGTGCATGGGCTAATCTGTAACTCAGTCTTGTTGTGTTGTTGTAACAGTTTACACACCTTTTAATTCCACATTTGACTTGATGGCAGCATGGGGGAGTGTATTTGTGGGTGCTGGCATCGGAAGTCACAGAGACAAAAAAGAGTCAAATAAATGACTTTGTTTGCCTTAGGAGACACCAACGAAGGAGCTGGGAAGTCGTGGGATAGACGTGAATGGGGAAGGTGCTGGCAGCTCTCCTGTTCCATCTTCCAGTCCTGGTTACTTAAACAGATTTGCAAATTCAGAAAGCTCAACAGATGAAGAAGGTACATGAATATCTTTATACACAGCAGGGGCTGAGACTGTTTTATGCAGAGCCTTTTATGAGGAGTCATTAAACTGTATGTGATCTGCAAGTTCACTGGACCATGTTGGCTTCAATTTTGCATCCTAGACAATGCAGCTGGGCTCAGGCTGCTTTGTTCCTGAGGAGCAAAGCTGGGATGTGATGCTGGTTATTTATATATTGATGTGTCCAGGGTTGCCTGAGAGGCAGACAAACTGAGTGACAAATCTTTGGGACTCCCTGGGCTAGAACCCTGCTCAGGGCTACAGGTTTTGTTTGGAGTTAATGCAATCCTCCAGTCTACTTCTACAACTCTGGGTGACCTTACATGACATTACAGTAATGCTGCTTTTTTCTTCTTTTTTTTTTTTCCTCCCCAAGGTGGGGGTTTTGAGTGGGATGATGACTTCTCTTCTCCAGAGCCATCCTTTATATCCAAGGCAGCTAACAGTCTCATTGGTTCTAAAGCACCCCTTCAGCCATCAAAGTACTTCTCTCCACCTCCACCTTCCCGGACTCTTGATCAGAACTGGTCACATTCATCCCCTTATTCCAGATTCTCCATCTCTCCTGCAAACATGGCAAGCTTTTCTCTTACACATCTTACAGATTCAGATATAGAGCAAGGAGGTAAGTGATTTAGTTATAATAATTTAAATATACAAATTAAAACTGCTATGTAAAGATAAAAGTAACATAAAATAAGTCTTGTTCTGTTTAAATACCAAACGTAGACATACATTTTTAACACTATAAAAGTTTGTCTGGTCTTGTGTTTCACTTAAGACATTGTTTTCCGTGGAGATTGAGATTATTTGTGTCCAAGTTGGTACAAAATTGTGATTGAACAACCTATGGAACATTTACAGGACAAGCTCTCAGTTTTTGTGTTAAAAACCCCAGTGCTGTATTTGTATAAATGGAACCTCTGCATTCCTGAAGCACTGCTGTTGCATCTGCCACACTATGGCAGTTATTAATTCTGGTTATCACCCTGTCTTAAGTCACAATTGTGTTTTCATTGCACAGGATGAGGATGCCAGGAACATAATGTTTCTGCTATTATTGTGTAAGCTTATTTTACAGTTTAGTTTTTCATATTGCTTTTTAGACATTGCATTCTTGACATTCTCTTGAGAATAGCAGCATGTTTTCTAGAGCTGTGAATAGGATAGCTTTTGTTAGGAGAGCAAAACAATCCATTTAGAGCAATATTGAGTATTAGCAGTGTTTATTATCAAGCCACCTTGTCAGAAACCAAAAACTTTTTTAACCTTTGATACAGTTCTGAGGGTTAAGAGGAGCAAAAATAAGCACACTTGAATCAGTTTGGCATATTGTTAATCTTGATAACACATTGCATTATTAAAAATAAACATTGCTGATTGCAGAGCCTTGCTAATGGTCAATGTCTATAAATAGGTAATCAGTTTTATATAGAGCTGTATTGTTCTTGTATTGTGCTTATTGATTAGATAATCTTTGCTGCTTAGTAACTTACAGATAAGACAGAATATTTTGGAGATCCTGTGTTGCCTTATGTGTCCTAAGAAAGTGACATTGAACTGTGTGATTGAAGCAGATGTGTATGAATAAATGAACCAAATGTTTGCAGTAGATGAAAGTACAGGGAAAAATTAACCAAAACTTGGAATGGCAAAACAGCAGAATGCCAAGTTCTAGCAAGAGTCTTACAAAGAAGTGAGGGTTGTGCAGAAGAATCTCACTGTATCTTATGATCTTTCCTCTACTAACAGGAAGCAGTGAAGATGGAGAAAAAGATTAAATCAATTTAAACTTGCTCGGACTCCATACATAAAACACATAGACTTTGTGTTTGAAACTTCTTTATCTAAACTCTGGATCCTCCTGGAGTAACACAGGTAATCAAGAAGTACTGAGAAATGGAAGTAAACACTGAAAGCAATGTTAAATCAGGACATTAATTTGAATGTGTATTTAACTTTGTAATGTATTTTTAAATCAGTGCAATTTTGCTTTTCATTGAAAGACGATTCTGCCGCTGTTTTCAAGTACTTGAAGTATTTTTCAGATAACTTAAACAAGTAAAGCAATTACACTACAGTCTGGTTTATGTATGAGATTGTATAATATTCTTTTTATATTTTTCCATGTAGTTCATTATCTATTTGAACATACACCTGTTGTAGAATTGTGTATAACTGTCCTGTGCAACAGGTGGCTGTGTTGATGGAACTGTATGAATGATAGTTGATCAGTAGTGAGCCATATTTATTCAAAAAGATATCACTACATATTACTTTGCTTATTACAATTGCACTATGGATTATTCTTCCTTTATTTCCTGATGATGTACAGAATCAAAATCTTAAATCTTTCAAGGAAAATAAGACAAGTTGAATTGGCCCAGTTATCCAGTTTAATTTGTCCTTTTTGTAGCCTTTGCTATGCACGGTACTTGTAAAGCATACATAAATTCTGAGTATTATGTTAGACTTGCTGAAATCTTATATTCAGTACCATTTCTAAAATGATAATGGTTATAGAATGGTTGTTAGTGTTTATGTTTTATAGGAAACTGGAAAAGAATATATGATATACTCTGGAATTTTTAGATGAAAGAGATACTGTCTCAATTCCTATGTATGATCCTACTGACTGCTTAAACTGTAATAGCATCTGACTATATCACAATTAAGGGCCTTCCACTTTTTACTACAATTTCTGCCTTGGAGAAAGAAGAGGAAAAATTGGCTGTACAAAACTCTGGAATTTGTAAATCTTATAAAAAGACTAATTTCAATAGACTGGATTTGGGTACACTTGGCCCTTCAGTTGCACATTCTGTGAATTTTGAAGCTCACTCTGCTGCTGACTGCAGATCGGGGCTCCATTCAGAGGCCTGTGGTAAATCTACCTCTCGGTGATGTTGTGACAATTCAGATTCTGATTAATGGTTAATGCCCAGTTTTGCACCTGTTATAGGGCCAGATCCATTTCAAGATGTCTGCAGAGCTCCATGGTCCATCTTGAAATGCATCTTGGACAAAGGCTGCAGTACAATAGGTTTGCTCTGAAGCCTGTGGGGAAGGGAAGACAGTATGAGGGCTTAACCTTCCTGCTCTACCATGCATTTAGCTGATTTAATCCTCTAAACTGCTCAGAAAAAGATATCCTTAATTATTACTCCAAAGTGAGTTCAGTTGAGAAACAAATCCCTGACTTCTTGGAATGCCTTATGAAGTTCAGAGCTGTAGGAAACACTGATAGGAACAGTTTACCTGGCTTTATATTTGTTTACCTATACTAAAATACAAATGCACTGAAATATGAAAGTACTTTGTATTTTAGTGGCTGTTTTGGCAGGGCTTGAGATAATGGTGGTCCAAGTGCTCTGTGTCCAGATCCAGTCACCACAGAATTTTCATCATATGGAGATGGGAGGACTAGATATTTTCAGATGTGTGATTTCTTTTTTTGTATACCTCTGTGTTAATTTTTATTTTTAGGTATGTTTTAAAAATGACAGGAATATGTTAACTGCTTTTTTTCCAACATTATTTAGCCCTTAAACCAGAATGGCTTCCATACTGATTAAAAGGGAATGATTTAGTTATCACATTGTTTGAAGTTGCCAATGAATTGAGATATCTTTTTGATGAGGTACTCAGGTTCAGAGTTAGTCAGAACTGTTCTTCAGTATGAAGTGAGGAACTGAATTTTCTTATGGACCTTTCCCAAAACATTATTTAAAAGGCAAAGTCAAGTAGTTCTTAATACAGGCTTACAGTATATACTGTAGAGGGTTTAAGGAAGCTGTGCGCTACTGAAAATACTTTTAAATGTTGGTAACAGACCTTGTGCACAAACTGTTGCTTGGAAATTCCACAATTTCAACATTAAACTCCTTGATACAGCTAGATTTAGGGTATCTCAACTGTCTTTAATTCTCACCATAGTAAGAATGAAACTCCATAATGGTCTGCAAAGAACATGTGGGCTTGTCTGCCTTATGTGGTGAAAAACCTGTCAGACCCTGGAGTTCAGCCTTAATTTTGAATCATTTGATTTTAAAAATAGTCCTGGGTTGAATAAAAGCTTATGCTCCGTAATGTTGTGATTTGGTTGTGCATTTTGTTTCTTGTGATTCTGGAAAATCAGATGTTTGTATCTTGCACATCACAAATTTCCTTTGTTTGATGGAAATCTAAGAATTTTATTCTTTACCTGGGTTTAAAGAAAATCTTACACCAGAAGTGAAAGTTTACTCCTTTGTCCAAATGGACTCAATGCTACTGAATTGCCAAAGGAGCATTTTTTCCAAAAGTAGATGTGTATGATATTAAGCAAGGTAATGTCCTTTTTAGCTGTACAATGAAGAGAAATACATATTTAAAGTTAACTCAGATCACTTAAACATGAATTTTAATTTCAGTAATCTAGTAGGCTGGATTGCAATAATATAAGCTATCTTTTGGGGTAAAAAAATGATACTTCAAGATCTGATCAACTACTAGCAATACTTAAATATTTGCCTGGCAGTCAAGTGGCACAATGAAAGTGAATTAGTAATTCCAACATGTTACATTATAATGAGGGGATTTGTTCCAAATCATTCATTACACTCTATGTAATTTCTTGCACTAGCTACTTAAGCCTGGTCTCCGTTTTAGAAGTACATGTATCTATTTTCAATGGTTTATTATGAGGACTGATTACAGCTTAATTCCTTCTCTAGTAGAATACTTGGATTGTTTGAATAATGAAGGCATTGTCTCAATTTGGCTACTAAAGTTATTTAAAAGATCTGATTTTTCCCACCTAAAGTAGTTTATTTGAACATTAGCATCTGCAGTGAGAAGCCAAGAGAGCAACAAGTGTCCAGTTTCAGTGGGAGCACCTGTACTCTCCCAAATGCCCCAGCTGCAGATACACTGTGTAGAACTGCATTTATGGAAATTGCCATTTATGGAAATGAGCAGATTTAACTGTTGTTTCACATCCTTGCTGATGCACTAATGAAAGCCATTTAAGCCTCATTCTTTTTATCAGTATTTTTAGCAGATTTTTATGTATTACTCAATCTTTCATGAGGAGGCTGGTTGGTAGAAAGACTTTTTTTATGATTAAGCACTATCCTAAAATGTCAGCATTGTTAGGTGTCAGTGACTTGGCTATTTGTGTTGAGTTGGTAAAAGGTGGAATCTAAGTACATTAGCCTTATAAGAAATAGCCTTAAATAAGAATGGAGTTACTTCAAAAAATTACTTCAGCTTTAAGTCATACATGTTAATGTTTTTGGTACAGGATGGGAAGAAATCTAGAGGAGAGTCAAACATCATATAAACTTATTGAAAATAAGTATTTGTAATACCAGCAGCCTGTTTTTCAGAAACTTGAATATGACTTACAGTTAGTTTTGTTTATGAAATTGTTTGAACTTGCACAGATGTAGGTGTAACTTAAATGATAAATGGTACTGATGTGTGTGTATATATAATGTTCAATTCTATTTGTAAATGAGAAACTATGTAACAAAATCATAGGTATGAGGTTTTCCTATTGTAATTTAATACAGGTATGAGGTTTATGGCAATATATCATAGTTAATGAAATTTCAGGTCAAAATGTCTTTAAATTGTGTACATTTTTAAATTGTAATTTCTACTGTATATTGATTATCATGCATAGTGTGATTCAAGAAACTGCTTGTAATTTAAAAATATTTAATATTAAAAATAAAATACAGTTATATATTTATAATCTCTTTGTCTGTTTGTTCATTTTTAAACAGATGGCAGCAGTGTAGTACCACTGTAAGATATATTTATTAGTCTCCTGAGGTTGAGAAAGTTCCAAAAGCTCAAAGCCACAGTCCCAGCAGATGAGTCCACGCTAAATAGTGTAGTCACCTTTAAATTCTTCCAGTATCATCACCCTTGTGCAAATTTCAGGTAAAGTGTGTACACAGTCAGTAGAGAAGCAATAATTAAAACAGCAAGAGTGTAATTTTGAATACTGAATTTTGCTTTTAATCATAGAATTAAAGATCTGAAGGAAGAATGGGGATTTTTAAATTTATAAATTCAGAAAACAGATTAATGATGTTTTCTCAGTGTTCATTGAATGTCTTCCTAGAGGACTTGCTTGAATTTTTTCAGTCTAAGTGCATGTGCTGAATGGACCAAAAGTCACCAGGTAAAGAACTGCAGTACTGGCGTGTACTGGGAGCCGCTTTGGTGAGCGGCTGAGGCTGCTGCAGGCTGGGCACTGGGAGAGGCCGGAGGAGAGCGCTGGATTTCCCTGCGCTCCGGGAGGGTTGGGGTCTCCCAGGGCAGCCCTGGCAGTGTTGATGGAGGCTCTTGTGGAAGCCCCCGCCTCACATGGCAGCCGTTGAGTGCTGCCACCTGTTGTGACCTGGGAATAAGAAACTGATATCAAGATGACTTAACTTCATTAGGTAAAATATAACTACTGGGCTGAAATTTGACCAAGGCAGTGGTCATTAATGAGAACAGATGCGAAAGATCCCATGGCACTAAATTGGTCACCTTATATAGAAGGTATTATCAAAGAATTTGAGAACTTGCAAACTATATGAGCAGCAGGTTCTCAAAGAGATGGCAGTGCTGTGTCCGTGGGCCCGTGTCACACAGGTGCTGTGACAACTTTGGAGGACAGAGCTGAGACAGACTTTGTCCTCCTCCAGCCGGGGACGCTCCAGCTGCTGCAGGAGGCGCTGGGCCCGCGCGTGGCTCAGTGTCAGTGACAGCCGCGCTGCTGCGGTGCCGCCGGTTCTGCCTCCCCGTGCCCGTGTCCCCCGTGTCACCGCGAGCCCTGTGCCCACCCCGAGCACGGGCGGGAGCCTGGAGCGGGTCCCCTCGGTTGGGTGTGCAGGTGCCTTCCCGTGGGTTCCCGGCCGCGGAGGGACCGGAGCTCCCGCCCGCCGGGCCCGCCCCCGCCGCTAAAGCGACGTGTCCGGGGCAGCGCCGGCCCCTGCGGCTGCCTCTGCCTGCGGGGCTCGGGCAGCGCCTGCCCGGGGCTGCTCGGGCCAGGGCAGGGCCTGGGCCCCTCGCAGGCTCCTGCTGACACCCCCTGGCTCGCTCAGAGGACACGCAGTGTTGCCTCCCCGTTGCCCCCACAGTCCTTGCTGCTGTTCCTGGCTTCCCCTGGGTCTCTGCCGCGTTGCCCCTTTGGTCACAGGCACCTTCTCAGCAGCGGGTGGAGTGGTAAGTCACAGAAGACGGGTGCCAGCCCTGGTAGATGGCTGCAGAGGGTGTTAAATGCGTTGGTATTTGGCTGCTCTCTCTCAGGTTTCTCTTCACCACTCCAGTCTGTTGCTTCTGATGCCCCCACAATCTTCTCCGTGCACACTCTCATACCACCTTCCCGGGACTCCCAGCAGCTGAGCTGGGGCTCTCTAAGGTTGCTTTTCCTGGTTACAGTGGTGGCAGTCTGAGAGCAAACCTGCCAGCTAGGCACTTTGTTATCCCATGATACCCCATTTGCTTTTGCCCAGCCTGCAGTTTTAAAGACTACTTTGCCCTCCCAGTTTGCTGAAGCTTGCTCTCTCTTGGATCTTCTTCCAACTTTCTCTTCTGGCTGCCTCCATGAACCCCTTCTTCACCAAGTCCTGTGGGCTGTTTTCTTCCAAACAGCAGCACTCCCCAGCAGTGCTGCTTGTGCTTGGGCAGGGAAGCTCCCTCTCCTCTGTGCTGTCCTGTAGCTGTGCCTTTTCTGCCAAGTGAGTTACACAAAGGGTCCAGAACAAATCCAGTGCTTGTCTTTGGAACTCTTTTCTTTCTGAAGATATCTGTGTGTCTCCAGCATTTTTAGGCTCCCACAACACAAGCTGCTTGATGCTCCCATTCAGCTGTCATCGCCTAGATGCTTTGTGAATTCCTGTGCTGTTTGGTAAAGTTGCCCCTTTGGTAGTAAGGAACCTGGGGATGGCCAGGATGTCCTCACAGGCATAGAAGTGAGTCACTGTGCAAGCCCAGCAGCTGAACATGGCTTTAAAGAAATGAGAAACGAGACAGGAGGTGATGTTTACCACAGCACAGCCATGACCTGCCACCACCTGCTCCAGCTGAGGTTGATGTCTTGTACTGGGACAGTCTCACATCTGGGGCTAGGTTTTTTCTTCTTCTTTTTCCTTCATTTTTTATTGGCTCACCAACTCTCAAACTGCTCCTACACAATAATATTGGCATAAAGTAATTTTGTTTAGACCAAAGCTGTTTATGACTACATGAACTGGAAGACTGGAAAGAAC